TTCGTTGAGGGTAATTTTGAAACTCAAAATCATTAACTGATTTTAATTGTCATTTTGATGATAAGAAAATTATGAAATTAATTGTTCCTAAAGTTTTACATTGGATCATTAACCATGATAAATTCACTATTTCAAATTTCCAAGTTATTTATTTTCGGCCATAATTGACCAAGGCGTGCTCGATCAACTTATAGCGCTAATTACTTCTTTTGGTCTTTTTTATAAGATGCTAGCTGCTAGTCACTTTTCTAACTTTATGAAAATTATTTAAAGCTAGTTATATGTGTGAGTGTGTGTGTGTTAAAATCTTTTATATTTTTCCAAAATTACTCTTTGATCGGTATAGCTTATTGGGAAAAGAAGACCAAAAAAGTCATTATAAAAAGATAGGACATTTTGAAAATTAATCATGAATGTTTCATTAAATTTTCTAAATAATTAATCTTATAACAAGAGTCAATGTATAGGATCTTAGAAATAAGACAAGAGGAAATATTGCAATTTTTAACTAAGTGCTGAAATTAAACTTTTAACAGTATTGGTTGTAGCTGTCACTGTTGTTATTTACCATTGTCGCCCCCTTGTATACATAGCCCAATATTTAATTTTATTTATCAAAGTTGGAGTGATAATAAACTATTTATGTTCTTTATAAAACTAATCAAAGGTGCTCTTTCAACAATATTTTTTTAGTCTCAAGGATGTCATGATAAACCAACTATAAAAATAATATACCAATCTTTAATTGTCACAAATATTCTTAAGTAGTAAAATTTTGATCTAATCAAACAATTTCAATAACATTTTTTTTAGAAATGATGAAACAAAAGGAAACATTTTTAGAAATCCCATTTTTCGGGGAGTGAAAGAGTCATTCTTAAAAATGCAAAATCTATCGTATTTCATCAATTATCTCGAGTCCTTTTAGCCCCCATCGTGATCGAAAGGAAAAATCTTCTTCGGCTTACTGACACGGCACTGCCTCTTGTTTTGTTTACTTTGCATTATTAAAAAGGTAACACGATGAATAAAATTAATTTAATTGATAAGAATTTAATTCATAGTAAACAAAGTTATCGGTTCAAATTTTGATGTTAATGTGAGATTTTTATTAATAAATAATATATAATTATTTTTATGAATTTTTTTTATCCCGGAAACATACTTTGGCTTTGATAAATTCTTGAAAAACTTTCACTAAAAAAAAAGAAGGGACGTGTTTGCTTGTCCAGACGGGGGAAAAAGAGATATTTTTTGACGATTATTTAGTTGCATCAAGGGCGTTTATATCTTGATATTTCTTATCTTGAAAGCGACAAAAAGAGAAAAAGGAAACGTGCTTGAAAGTGACAAAAGGAAAAAAGGAAACGTGATTAAAAAAAGCATCAATACTTGCATAAATAACATTGTAAAAAGCTTAAAAATAATTAAAAAAGTATAGTAAACTGTGAAAATAAAACCCATAAGCAATTGTTTTTTTTTTTTGTAGTAATAAGCATTTTTTTTTGGTGAAGATAGTAATAAGCAATTCTGTTGTAGGATTGAAGGATCGGATCTAGTGGATTTAAACTACTCTCGCATGGGCTGACAGGCCCATTTAAGATGTCACGCTTCATTTCACTGTTTGTTATTTTATTTTATCTTTTGAAGTTATTTTATATGGCTTGCGACTAGCGACCCTGTTCACTGTTCATTTTTTTTTTCTAATAAAAAAAAAACTAAGTGAGTTGGCTGTTAGGAGACTTACTAAGGTTCGAACATGCCTTCAAACTTATTAAACACTGACAGTAATATTTATAAATTACTTATTAATAAGGTTTTTACATCGATAGTAAAACTTAAATTTCATGATTTGATGGATTGTGAGTCAATCTTTATCAATTGAACTAACATTTACTGGTTATTCAATGTTCATTATGATACAGCCGCAGGCAAAAATGAATTTAGCTTTGTTTGGTGGGTATGAGTTATTTGGGCTTTGTAAATGATTCAAGTTGGGAAGTTGGGCTTCTGTCAGGCCCAATTTGAATCATCGTCACCATTATTTTCTCAATGCAAGGTCTATTTAAACTTGTTTAACAGCGTGTTAATTGGTTATGTGTTTTTTCATTATATGTTTTAAAGTGGTTGTGTCCTTTGTAGGTTTAAGGGACTACTTATGGTCTTTATTAATTATGTTCACCAAGAACTAATGTTTGTGTTGTAATTTTTATTTGAAAAGGACTAACTTAGTCTTTTTGAAACACCATAGAAGTCATTATTAATTAATTTATATTTTTAAAAATAATTGATTAAGATTTTGATTTTTTATAATTTTTTTATATTTTTTTCACCCGTATCCTAAGGTGGAATAGATGTAACAATTTATTTATTCAAGCGCTGTAGCTAATTATTTGGGTGGAACGTAATAAAATAAAAGATAATTAAAAATATATATAATCTACTCATTGTCCTGTATTTTGGATTGAATGAGACTCATAAAAAATATTTTATATTATGGTTTGAAGGGGTGAGCATTTAACCTTATATACTTAATACTTTTATCCAGATAAACAAAAACAAGTGACTTAAAGTGTTAAAAATATTAATAACAAAAGTTTGTTATAAAAAAATAATATAAAAGACTCACACATCTTGATTTAATTAGATAAAATTAGCTTAAATATATTAGGTTAAGTGCATAAGTTTTTCTCCTTTTATTTTTACAGGTCTATGTTGTGCTAGTTTAATGAAGTTGTTGGATGAGATTTTTTTAGTCAACAATACTTCCTCTAGTTCTTGTTACAGGATTCATTGGTCTTTAACATGAAGCACTTGATGAGATATTGATTACATTTTTTAATACTATTTCTATTTAAATGTGTTAACTATGAGAAAAAATGTAATGTAAATTTGAACAAAATTAAATAAGAACAAATTAAAAATTTATTCTATTTTTAAAAGAATCCAATAATTTAATCAACTCTCACCGTTTTGATGAGGTGATTACGTATGTGTTTGATTTTTAATTTTCTAAAAGTCAATTTGTTAAAAATTTATTTAGTAAACATTAGTTTAGTGAAAGTCAATTGCTATAATAAATTTGTGTTTGAATACATTTTTTTTAAAATTAGCTTGACAAACTGAAAGTCGTTTGAATTAATGATAATTTAAACTTTTGAATATGGAATGGTAAAAAAGGATATTGATTTTTGACAATTCATAATTTTTATTATACAAATATAATATACTCTCTTCATCCCAAATCATAGGGCACTCTTAAAGAAGTTTTTCCATCTCAAAATATAAAATACTTTGAGTAGATTAAGGTTTCACTAAATGCACCAATTTCAATATTATCTTTGTTCTCTCTATAATTAATTTCCATGACTTCTCTTTTCAATATATTAAATGATGGATATTTTAAAAATTTTTTATTTTTGTTTTTGAAAAGATAAGGTTGTTAAATGTATTTAATGAAATTTATTGATATGAAATTTTATCTAAAAGTGTCTTAAAATTTGAAATAGAAGGAGTATTAGAAACATTTAAAAAATGTGAAAAAATTTTAAAATAACATATAATTTAAGATATTAAATAATAAGAATAAAAATATATAGTTTAATATTATCTCATTTCAAAAGGACTTTCATAAAGTAACAAAATAAAACTTTTAAATTTTTACATTCAGCTCATCTTAAAAGGACTTTCAAAAATCACATTTAATCTTATTAAATTATATCCAAATAACTTTTCATATCTCAGATGTGAGAAAATGATTTTGGAATGTAACAAGTGTAATAATTAGACGGTGCCTAAATGTTACTTATAATATAAGGATTGGGGGGAGTATAATTAAATATTTACTTATTCATAAAATACAATAACATTGTGCAATCAATTCCATTTAGTGGATAAGACATTTTTTTTTTGTCCACAAAAGTTTATGTGAAATGAATTTAGAGAACTTACAATTGAAGCTATTGAGTCAGTATGCTTTCAAATTCAAAAAATGTTTACAATCACCCATTAACAAAATTTTTATATTGATAGCAGGATTTAATTTTTCAATCTTAATTCTTTAAGGTCAAGGCAAGGTTTGTTAATGATTGTTTTATATAATGTTTTTTGTTGCTATTTGTCTTCCTTACTGTGTTTTGTGGTTTTTAAACACGACGATATGCACTTTTCTAATGAACAATTTAATGCACGGATTTTGCTGGCAAGAAAAAGAATTGAAGAAATTTTAACGAATCAAGTAGGCTTTTTTAATTCACGTAACGCACTGAAGATAAAACCCTCCCCTCCTTTCCTCCAAACCAAACAGCCTAGGAGAGAGAACAGTTCAAGTGAGTTTAAACTTTTTTTTTTTTAAATTTTAATTCAATTCAATTTAAGGAAGAAAAATTAAAAAAAAAATTTGAGGGTGAAAAGACTAAATATCCTTCACTTATTATATAGAATAACTAATTAGTAATTTTTTTATTATAATTATTAATTTATCAATATCACTTGCTAACTTTACTTGTTAATTTATTAACATTAATTATAAATTACTAAGGTCAGTAATTTACAACTGATATTAGTAAATTATAACATCTATTAATAATTTATAACTAATTTTAATAAATTAATAAATAAAGTTAATAATTTAATAACTGATGTTGCTATTTATAATTAAAAAAATGATATTAAGTTTTATATAATTATTGACATATCAATTTATATAATTTATAATTTATATTCGTAAATTAACAAGTGAAGTAATAAAATTAATAATAAGTGATTCTGTATGATAAGTGAAAAGTATTTTAATTTTTTTATCCTTAAAGTTTTTTTAAATTTTTTCCTCTGAACTGAAATTTTAATTTCTTTTAAACTTACCTGAAGTTAAATGTTTACACTGTTACCTGACTAAAATTCTCCATATGCAAAATGTTTACAAAGTGAGAAATTGGAAATTTAGAAATCACAATCGTAGGATATTTGAAGACTGGACTGACATAGAAATTAGACACTAGAACACGCAAACAGACAGAGTCCAGAAATTCTTTGATTTCAATTCCATTCGCTCCAGAATTTGCTTCGTCCCACTTGGAAAGGAAACATTTTCCTTTGATTTACAGGAGCAAGCAAGCCTCTCTTCCCGCCAACACGGATGCTTGGGTTACCGTCATTTCACCGTCAACCTTCCTTAATCTCACCACCACACACTCTGTTTCCGAAGCTCACATCCAAAGCTTTCTACTTTCACAATCGATGCTTAGAGTTCGCTTCTTTGCCTCAAGTTCTGCCCCCAAACGTTTCTGGGTTCCCAAGACGTTTATTGGCTTCAAATATATCGGTTTGCTTTTCGCCCGATGATGATTTCGATGTTGAATTGGGCCGTCTGTTGGCGCTGTTGCCGGAAGAAATGCGGCAAAGGGTCAGTGAGCACCCTGAGCTACTTCAATTGATTGAAGTAGTCATGGATTTGGGAAGGAAGCCTCTCGCTAGATTTCCCTCCGGAGATTTTGTGATCTCGGACTATCCTATAACGGTTCAGGATATTGAGCATGCAACCTCCCAGGTGCAGAAAACAATGCGCACTACCTGTTTGATGAATTGACTGAAAAAAATATTGTTTTCGCTATGAAGGTGAAATGACATTTTCTAAAATCAAATCATGAGATAAGTGTGTACTTGTTTTAAAATATATTATAATATAATACCTCTATGAGTTTTGACTTACAATAGAACTGAATACTTAAGTCTTAGTTAAAATCAATTTCATGAAGGTGAAGGCACATCATCCTTGTGTAACTTTTCACATATTCTTATTTTTATACCAATCCTGTGTCAGTCGTGAAAATTGTTAGGAAATAGTCCCTTAATATCAGTTTTGACAGAATTTAATAATTTTATTTTAGTTTAAAATTTTTTTTGATACATCTCGTAATCCAGGTAGCAATTTAATTTTGTGATTAAGTTTTAGTTGGAGAAGGTAGTGTCATTTGATTTGGCCTGTCTCTCTTGGGAAATATCTTGTACTATAACCTAACATTGTTCACAAGAAGATATAGATATGTTAACTGTGAACTCAATGGGACCATCTTTTTTAGGTTGGGGACTTTGCTGTTGATAATCGAGCAGGAATCAGTAGGACATTACATCGAATTAGTGCCATCAGAAATCGGAAAGGTGCAATTATTGGTCTTACTTGTCGAGTTGGCAGGGCAATATCAGGCAGTGCTAAGTTGTTGCGAGACTTGGTTCAAGATGGGGCCTCTTTGTTGCTTATTGGGCCTCCAGGAGTGGGAAAAACTACGATCATTAGGTTAGTGTTTCCTTTGTCATTCCACGCCCGAGGAATTAGTTATAGTTCCAAGTATTAAAAAATAGGCAGCTGGTGGGATGCACGCTCATTTTAATTTGATTAAACAGTTACTGATTTTTTCCCCTTGTTAGCAGCTCTTCCCCCCCCCCCCTCACTTGAACTCAATGTGTATTTCACTCCATGTAGGGAAATTGCCCGGATGTTGGCAAATGATTACAAGAAGCGTGTGATGATTGTTGACACTTCCAATGAGATTGGTGGTGATGGTGATATACCTCATGCAGGAATAGGTAGTGCTCGTCGGATGCAAGTTCCTGACTCTGAAATGCAACATAAGGTATTATTGGCTTTAACCAAAGGTTCTTGAGTCTTGGTTGTTCAGTAATATGGAAAATGTATCTGTTTTATCGACACTGCTTGAGAATAATTGACACATCCAGATTGGCATTATAGTTTAGTGAAGGGTTGGGGCATAGTTTTTCAGCAAACATTCTTAAAAATAGTATGGAATGAAATGTTATTGCTGTGTTCGCTAAAATATTAGTTCAACAGGTTTCCAGGACCGTCCCTTTTATGTAAGATGTATTCCGTAAGTCAGCTGCTCTTATCTAATATGGTGGGAGTCTTTTGTTTTTGTTTTCTCTCCAAAGTGTTGTTTTTCCTTCTTATTTTTTTTTTTGACAACTTCCCGCACGAGATTTTTTAGGTGGTTGAGGTTGAGGGTTGGTTGAGATTTTCTTTTTCTTTTTCTGGGGTGGATATTCTAAACAGGATCCCCATGATTATAGATGATTTTATCCAAGGATTCTCATGTCTGTGTTTTCTTACAAAATTCTTAACACGTGTTTCTGGTATTTCATTGTTCAGGTGTTGATAGAAGCAGTAGAAAATCACATGCCGCAAGTAATTGTAATTGATGAAATTGGTACAAAACTTGAAGCAATGGCTGCAAGTACAATAGCACAACGAGGGATCCAGCTTGTTGCCACAGCTCATGGAGTCACAATTGAGAATTTGATAATGAATCCCTCATTAGAGATGCTTGTTGGAGGAATACAGGTGAACTTACTTTGTTTGAAGTGAGATGCCAAATTAAATTATTGGATAGCTTTTACCTTCTATAGTTAGTACTTCAACTTGTTTATGATCTAAAAAGTAACTAAGACCATACTTTGTGCGTATTTAAATCTACTATGTCACAGTCCAGATTTCTTTTCTTAACAGGTGCCATTGGAGCCAAAGGCCATTTGATAAATTAATGCTAATTATTTAGATTATAGATTAAGTGCCAGACTGAAGAGAATTTTATATTTTGAAAAATTATAAATTGTTTATTATGATGCTCTTATAGTGTTATAACAGTTTTAGCCGACCCAATTTGTTGATACCCTATCATTTTCTTATCCTCTTTGTGAATCTTTTATATGACAATCAGACTTTGTATTTTTTTTTTCCTTTGTTACATTAGAGCTACTATTATTTTCTAGAGTGTGACGCTGGGGGATGAAGAGGCCAGCCGCAGGGGTGTTCAGAAGACTGTACTGGAGAGAAAAGGTCCATCAACATTCAGTTGTGCAGTTGAGATAATTTCAAAGACAGAGTTGCGGATTCACCGTAGCCTTGAAGCAACTGTAGATGCTATTCTTTCAGGTAAAACCCTTCCTTGGCAGATTAAGTTGTCCTAGCATATTGTCTGTTATTAAACTGTTTGGCTTCTTGGTGAAGGTCGCTTTCCACATGTGGACATCCGCAAGATGGATTCTCAGGGACAGGAAGAAACCATGCACGAACCTGTTACAAGCAGTTCTGAAAAGAATGATGAACTTATGCTTGAAGATGGTCCAGAAATGTCTGGCGACCAAACCTGGCAAAATGAAACACTTTCTCGGTTGCCTGTTGACATGGTTGAGAATTCATGGCAAAATGGATTACCACTTCGCCTTTTTTGTTACGGGGTAAGATGCCATTACTCACCAGCTTTGATGAATAACAATTTGTAAGACCACCAAGATAGATGATTTATTTGGTTTTCTCTCCTTTCCTTTTGCTCTGTTTTTTCCCTTTCTTTACTTTGTTGAGTTATGATCTCATATAAGGCAGCTGGAGCTTTATTTACACTATAAAGAAAATTGCATTTAGGGTCAGATGACAAAGATATTGACGAATATGAGTTACAAAGACCATAAAATTAACAAAATTAATTTTACCTCAGGAAAATGGACTGAAATGCTATCATTTTGGCACCAGCAACGTATCCTCTTATTTTCACTTCCCTGTTGAACCACCTACCTCCAAAAAGCATTAAAGACACCATCGATCCATTGGATATTAACACTGTAATACGCTATACTATGTTTTCTAGCCAAACGCTATACATCAGATTAACATTGTAATTGTCTTATTTCTAATAAACCATGCTATGGTTCTAGCTAAACACTGTAAGTTTTAGGATTTAGGATTGAAAGGGAAGAAATGTGGATGTGAGAAGTGTCAACCTATTTCTTCTCGCATGAGGATTGATGTCATTAATGTGACAGTTACCTTCAACTCTTTGTATAATCTTATGCTTAGCATTAACAACACCATAGGCCCGTTGGATATTTAGTCTGAGTCTGTTTTGTGTGAAATTTAATCATTTTAACTTTCTCAAGAGATGGAGAAAAAAATAGAACAGTAGAAATATGCAGTTCTTTAAATCTCCCAAATTTCATAGAGTATGCTCTTACATGTCAGGCCCCAAAAAAAAGGAAAAGAAAAAGAAAAAAGAAAACAGTATGTTCTTACACGCCCACAGCAAGTGAGGGAGGAGCTTACCAAAAGCATAATGGTTTCCCTTTCCCTTCCCTCCCTTCCATTTTCTCCCAGACAGACCCTGCTCTTTGTGGCTATTCTTTCAATTGTTTATTGAATCTTAATTGCAATTGGATAAACTTTATTTACTGTAGATCTATTTCTCCTAGAGCGCTATCCAGTATTCTGTTTACAACTTGTCATCAATCAAAGCATAATTAGCGTACTCTTCTTTTCAGTACTTTGTGTTGGCTATTTAACTTACAGAATGAGCAGTAATTCTAGATTTTGGAGGCAACAATTATGCAAGCAATTAAACAGCTGAGAATGAATGATATGGCCCTTCAATTGACTGATAATATTAGTGAGGCAAATGCGTTGCTTGCCTTGCAATCGAAGCTTAAGAAGAATCCTCGGATCCAAGCTGCCGCTAAGTCTCATGATATACCCATTTATGTAACTAAGGTAATATATTTAAAAAAACATAATTTTAAGTTCTTACACTTTGCTCAAATTTTGTTATAGGTCATTGCATTTTTTTTTTTTTGATATTCTAGGTCTGAGGACCTAGAACACCGGAAAATAAAATTGTAGGAACCTATAGCAAAATTCGAGCAAAGTGTAGGAGTCCAAAGTTATGTTTTCCCTAATATATTTCTTAAATTAAATTTTTAGTTGAATAATTATTCTGTCATAAATTTATGCCATGGGCTATGTGTTTACTTTCTAGACAAGTTCATTGGTGCAAGTAGAAAAAGCTATACGGGCACTAGTAAGTGACTATGAAGATGGTTTAAAGGTGGTTGGATCTGTAGAGAACATAAAATTGTCAGAGAAGGTTGATGCCTTGGAGGTAACATTTATACTGTAGTTTTCTTTCAGCCATTCCATCTGACTTTTGTGGTTGCAGGTTTCATTTCTTTTTGTCTTTCTCTGTGGTGCCAAATGTGGTTTTATGTTGCATTGGGGGAGTAGTAATTCATGCTCAAAATTGTTAGGCTGTGAGATATATGTTGCTGAAACCCTAAATTTGAGTTCTAGAAATGATGAAATAGAGCGGGAAACGAGAGTGCAAATATCTAGAGACCAAATCCATTGGTTTTTTCCCCCCCTCTTAACCATGTTGTCTTGGCTCATCTTTCTGAATCCCCCCTGTAGGTCAAGCCTTAAGGGGAACTGTACAAACCTATGGCTATTAGAATTAAGAACTTCTTCAAAGACATGGATTTTTCATGAGGGAACCAAAATAATATAAATGTGAATATATATCATGGAAATTGACATGGTACTCTAAATTTAGCACCAAAAATTGTCACATATTAGTGAAACAGTAAACGATTATGAAACTTCCCGTTTTGCTCCAATGAGTCACTAGATACTAGTGAAGTAAAGAGTAGTTTCTCCTATGTTTTAGGAGAACATTAACTGTGCACATGTCAGATGTAATATGATAATGCAGCGAGGGAGATAGTCATGATGGTAGTAGTAATGATGTTAGCTTGGCTATAGAGTTGTTATAATTTTGTTAATGGTGGAGGTGGTATTACTGGAACAAATGTGGTTCAGGTAGACTTGAAATTGAGTGGCAGAAAAGATGGGGAACGAGCCAGTGATTACCATGCACCGTCATTGTTGCTGGTTCTTCCAAGATGCTGATCAAGCATGTTTTTTCCCTTACAAACTCTGCAATCATATTTGTTAATTTCTTATACCCTTTTACTTCGATAATATTGGCTTCTCTATACGATCAATATATGAGAAAAGCTTGGGGAAGTCTGATCCTTTCCACTGTAATCAAACAACACTTATTGGTGGATGCTACTGACGAAATATGACTTTGGGAAGACTCTGGTTTCCCCACAATTATAGTTTGATTGTGTCTGTAGGGGTGTAAGGGCCTGGACATGTTTGTAGATTGATACATTGATGAAAACATATTGTGACACCTAAAAGTAGAAATTGAAAATCCCTCCAAAAAAGAGTGAGAAACAAAGGCAAGTTTTATTTGCATGATTTATATCAGAGCTTCAGGTAGGTCTAGACCTAGGAAGGCTGGTATGATATTTCTATTGTTGAAATTGAATGCTTGTCAAATTAAATTAAAAAGAAAAAGAGAAAAGAAATGCATGCCATTAATTGTCGAGTCACTCTTTCAGGAGGCAAGAATGGCCATAGAGCATACTGTAATCCCAAAAGGAGAACCTGTTGATCTCCTCCCAAGGTCATCTGCCATATTATCACTTCAGCTAGAACTTGCACAAAAGTACCAACTAGAAGTAAGGAAAATCACCGGAGATTCTGGTGTACATCTATGCATCCTTCCAAACCATTATAGGATTGATGAAGAAAGATTAGACAGTGAAGCTTCTGATCCTGACGTTGAAGGACTTGATGAGTTTGCCTCTCCCAATGGCAGTGTCAAAGGCTCCCCTTGCAGCTTGGACAGGCTGCCCCTCCTGCCTGAGTGACTGTAAGTTTCTTAATTGTCTGCATATCCCATTCTTGTATTGCATGGAAAATGATGTTGAAGAACCCAGAATTTATAATATTGACAAAGATTCAAAAAAAAAAAAAATTCTTTTAAGAGTTGTAGAAAGTAGTTATCTTTGATGCATTTTAAGATTATCGCTCATGTTCTTTAAATTACGATTTGTAAATTTTTCTATACACCCTTGGAACATTCGGAAGACTAAGTTGTAAATCAAACTGGTAACTTATTTTTGTGATCCTAAAAGGAAATTCAATTTTTTTTTAACGTTCTTAACTATCAATAATATAAGTCATGGGTCCTTAAGTGTCATTTCTCTGTATATTATTTACTTCTGATTTAAGCAGCAGCTATGGAGCATTATGTTGAATTGTTTTTGCACCCGCCTCTGTTGATTTTGTTTTTTGAATATGGAGGAAAGACAATAGCCAGAAAAAGTCCCAAAAAACTTAAATGATAGGACCTAAAAGCCTCTTAGTCAAATCATATCACATAATATCTGCGCACTCAGGTTCTAGTTCTAACATGATCATTTCTGAGTGTGTTTGATTTTTTGGTTGATCAAAAGTTCGTTTTTTAGAAGTTCATTTGCCAAACTGAAATGTCCAAAGTAAGGCTGGGGTGTTTTTTGCAAATGATTTTCAGATCTGCTTGTTAAAAATACGAATAACATTGTTCCAAGAGCTGGTTTCATGAAAGGACTTTTCGGTGTCAAAAGTACAAACCAAACATATCCATATTTATATTATGAACATAATATACAAGCTATTTAGTACATTTATTGGCTTATCTAAATACATGATCTTAGATAATCTCTCCCAATCACGCATGAGGAGTCTTCTAATGATAATTTCTTGGAATTTTGACAAGTATTTAAATCTTTTAGGTCTCATTTCTCCTATATTATTTACTTGTGATTTAAGCAGCAGCCATTCAGCCTTTGAATTGATTCTTCACCCACCTCTCGATTTTATCTTATAGTTTCTTTCTTTTGTTTTTTTTTTAACGGCAGGTGTAGCGCTTGAAAAGGCATGGGATTGAACACGGAACCTAGTGCCACAAAGGTACAACTTGGTACCACTAAACCCCAAGGTCTTCAGTGTATCTTACGGTTTCTGCTCATCTTGTTTTGATTAGTCTCATATGATTAGAGCCCTAGTAACAATTATGCCTTCTCGGATCCTTGAAGTTATTTTGTGATATAGTCCTACTTGAATCTTGGAAACTTACGGTTATGTTTAGTATATTGAAAAGAATTTCAAGGGATTGAATGAAATTATGCGAGAAATAACTTTTAAATTCAAAGAAATCTAGTGATTAACAATGGGTAATTTTAAGTCAAATATTGTTTTCCGAAGACCAAAGAGTTCTGAAAGGGAGACCAAAAATAGGTGAAGAATGACGTTGAGTACACATAGAAAAGAGAAGTGAATACTTTTCTAAATGATGTTTTATGTTGTACAAATGGAAGAATGGAAATAAATGGAAGGAAAAGGAATCAAAGCCCTTTACCTAAAAAATATTGGAGAAAATAATATGAGGGCTTGAAATTTATAAAATTAGTTGTTACATTTGGAAATTAATATTTTATCTAAAGTTATAATGTATTTTATTTATGTTATTAGAGTATTTTAGATTAATAATTATAAAAAATAATGACAATAATTTATTAATATAACTATTATTTTATTTTTACTTTTTGCAGTAATGAGTTTTTCATCCTTGAAAATTGTTTTCTGCCAGTGTTATATTAATAACAATATGCTAATGGATATAAACCGATACCTAGTACAAATTCGTTGAACATAAGAAACAAGAAGAACACAATTAAGATGTCCTTGTTTAATTCAATGCTCTTTACTTTTCTTTTTTACCTATCAATTAAAAGACAATGATTTTGTGGCCATTATTCACCAACTTGTGTGCCAAAAATTAATATTAAGAAATAGTGCTGATATTATAAGAGATAAGATCTTGTTGCACTTTTTTTTTCCCCAACTAAGGGTTGAAAAGCTTATAATTTTAATTGGTCAAAAAGAAAAGCTTATAATTTTGAAGTTTATTGAGAAAGATCGGGTCAAAGTTAGCGTGGTTGTGGATGCCTTTCATAGATTTCACAAATCACAACGGATCTGGATGTGACATGGGCTGTGGGCTAATCAATCAGTCTTTCTTTTCTTTTTATTTTTTCTGGATATATATAACAATTTAATTGAATGAGCATTATTAAACTTTATGGAGAGTAGCAGTTCTAAAGATAATTTTTGCATTCGTACAAACTTAAATTTAAAAATATGTGCTTAAGCTGTCAATTTTTTTTTTTTACTAGAATCAATGCCTATTGGTTCAATCAATCAATCTTTTGAAGAAAATAATTAGATTTTTCCCTAGTAAAATATTTTTAAAAAGTAAAGAGAATAGATAATGATGATAATGGATTAACGAATTGTGTGAAATTTAATGAAAGTTGCAATGTTTATATGGCATTTGAATAGTAAATTAGAGAGAAGACACTGTTTATAGTGTATAAATAGCACTGCTGCTGTGGCATTGTTTTTTTGGGTTATATATAACTATAGATTGGCAGTTGTACTACTACTGAATCTCAAGTTGAAAGGCTCTCGCTGAGAATTAAAAGGATAAAAGTTTAATTTTTAGACAATTATGACTTTGGCCAAGAGAAGAAATTATTTGAATAATAATTGTTCTAGTCTTTTTTAATCGAATAGATTTTTAGGGAAAAAAGATGAAAGGATTTTATAAATAAAATGTTTATGCAAGTTTTTGATATTTTTAATTCAATACCTAACCAACCAACCAACCAACCAATAATATTTTAAACATGCTTTTATTTGAGACAAGTTAGCGTCACCAAGTTTGGTTTTCATACAATAACAACGTATTGAATGCTTCCTCCATTAAAAATATAAATAATTTTTTTGAAGGGTTGAAATTTAAAATGCAATGCATTTTTAGTGTTTCAAAATATAATTAATATATTTTTTAAAAATATTTTTAATAAATAAATCTTTTTATATTTGTTGTAAGTAAAACACTCAATTAAATAAAAGTAAATGTAAAAAGATAGTATTAATTGAAAGACATTTGTACTATATTTGGATATATATGGATTTGAATTTAAGTCAAATTCATTATTTGAAAAAAATGTATGGATTTGGATTTGAGTTCTACCTAAATCTTTTTGTAATTTAAAATCCTTTCTAAATTCTTATTATTTCAAATCTTAATTTAATCTCTTTGGTAATTTTACCCAAATCCATAAAGGTTTGATTTGCCCACAAATGGTAACAAGACTGAACCACTGAAGCTAATGAAATCAAGCTACAATCGTTGATTAGGATGGAACTGTCATTGTTGACCTAGACTGCACTGCTGGCATCAACTGAGACCAGATGGCCAACTTCCATTAGGACCAAATTGCTCGTACTGGTAGGGATCGAAATGTAGTTGACAATCAAGACCAGACAGTTGACTTTCACCAAGATTGGACCACTGGCATCAACTAGAAATAAACAGCCAACTTTCATTGGGATTAGACTACTGGTGAAGACCCAGACAGGCCTTCGACTTACATTGGGCCAACTTCCACTAGGACTGCACCTCAACGAGGATTGAGATAGAAAGATCGACTTCCATTGAGATCGGACTGATGGCAATGACTGGGACCAGATGGAAGACTTTCTTTGAGACTAGATAGACGACAATGACTAGACTTGACGAATGACTTCCAACAGGAGTTGGACAGCTGACTTTTATCAAGATCAAATCGACGATGATGATTGGGACTGGATGGTCAACTTCTTTCGAAATTAGATGGCTCATAATGGCTGGGATCAAATGACCTCTTGTAATGGGGATTGGATTGTCGATGTTGACTGTGATCAGATCGTCAGTGATTCGCTTTAGGTCAAAGTTGCCTACTCGATCTCGATTAAAATTGTTGACCCAATCACTGTGGGAGCCGGTTATTTGATCTTGATTGTAGGTGAAAATCCAATCCTGATCGGTAACTGTAGTTCAGTCTCGATCGCCTCTTTGTTGAAGTCAGTAGTTTGGTCTCGACATTACTGTTGATCCAGTCTCGGTGGAAGTTAACCATTCGATTTCAATCATTGTCATTGATTTAATCCTAGTAGAAGTCGATCATTTGGTCCCTATCATCACCATCGATCTCAACCCTGGTGGAACTTGACTGTTTGGTATCAGTAAGTTGGCCATCCAGTCCTAGTTGTTGCCAGTGCTATAGTCACAATTGGCATCGATAGTCTAGTCCCAGTGAAAATTGGCCATTTGGACCATTGACTTTGACTAGGAACGGACTGAAGCCGTCGTCTAAGTTTATTTTAAATTCAAATATAGAATTTAAAATTTAAAATTTAAAATTTAAAATTTAAAATTTTACTTTATATTCAAACAAAAGATTTTAATATTATAATTTAAATTTTTTTATATCATTCAAATAAAGAATTTAGAATTTATGAATTTTAAATATGAGATTTCAAATTTAAATTCTCAACATAAATTCACCCATACAAATACAACCTTAACTAATTTATTGAGAGGTATAATTAAGTTAAAAATATTTATATTTTTAAACCGAGTAAGTAGTTTTGATCAAATTGGCTGGGGCATTACCACCAAAACATATAAAAGATTATTTATAGGGGGTAGTCTTGGACAGCTGCAATTTGTATGGAAAATATTCTAATTATTTATTTGAAGTAGAATTTTTTTTAAAATTAAAAAACTTATACACTGGACGTTGTTCTATCCATATGTTCATAAAAAATATCAATATGATGTGTGTATATATAATACATACTCCCTCTGTTTAAAAATATAAAATATTTTTAATTAAATTTCACCTCCAATAAAATAATTACCTACTTTCTAACTAACCATATCTTTTTATATTTATTCATATTAAACACCTTATAATAAATATAAAGTCATTATCAATAGAATTTTTTTTTAAAAGGCAATAATTATACTTCAAAAGACTAAAAATGCCTTATATTTTTGAACATCCAACTTCTCAAAAAATATCTTACATTTTTGAACGGAGGGAGGGAGTAGAAAATTTAGCGTTATAAACATTTTTAAAAATTAAACGAAAGTATATAAGTTTGCATGGATATCAAATAAACAAATTCTTGATGAAAAAGGCCCACTGACATATAATGTAATATAAGTGATATATTGCCAATATGCGCTTTAAATTAAATTATGATTAATTCTGGCACTAATAAATAGTGGGTAGGTAATGGATTAATTCATGGTTAATTGTACTCTTTTGGAGAATATAAAACGGAGCACATGGAACAACTTAATGTACTGGTTAGCTATTGAAATCCAGCTAATTAACAAACTAAAAGCACTGTCTATATATATATATATATATATTAAAAAGAGAGGGATGCCTTTCAAAAAATTTACCATGATTTATATTTTTAAACCTAAGTTGGATTTATTTCATTTTAATCTTTAATTGTAAAAATGTATTTTTTTTAATTCCGCTAACACCCCAAGATGCCGAACAAGAAGTCACATGTAACTATATTTCCCAAACTTTCACCAACTAGAATATATTTTTATCATAACATGAAAATAACTTATAACATTACATCTTTATTCAAAACACATTTATTAAACATATGCTTATTATTTTTAAAAGAGAATTTTGAGTTTTGACCATCAAAATTTCTTTCAAGAGCATTGCTCACTTGGTTTAACTAGTAATAGAGTTGTGCTTACTTAATTAAATATCGAATTTAAATCTTGAAAATGTAGCAATGTTGATGGTATAACTTTTGCTCAAAAGGGTCATGATCAATCTAGATTAATTTGAGCTCCTATTAGATTCATTCAACTCAACATAGAGTAGATTCAAGATATTAGTGCTCCATGGAAAAAAAAAAAAAGGGATAGCTCTTCCAATATAATTTTTGTCATCTACAATATTTAAACTCATGACCTTATTTAATGTACATAAAGTATTTTCCATACAACTCAGTTACCGTGGCTGAATATATTGCTTTCATTGGTATAATATGTTAATTAGTTAAAAGCAAAACAAGGACGGGTATCTTGGGGACCTTCACATTTTGCACCTATGTTCAATATAATTCAGATTTGGTTATCCAATACTTATCTTGATAGCTTTTGAAATTTTTTTAATGTAAATTATGGGAAGGATTTTTCTTTATGTTAAGCATGGACAATTATAATATTAATTTGGTTATCAAGTCAAGCATAAAAGATAGATAAAATAGTTAATTTATTAGTGCTCATGACTTCAATATTGTACCCTAAAAGATCACTAGGGTGCATAATTTGAGTATTCTTTATTGATATTTCAAAATTCATTTATTCTGCAATGATCAAGGTAACTGAATAAAAGGGTTTACTAAAAATCTTGGTTATCACCTTAACACAGCCGCAGAACTTCTTGGTATCCTTAAAGGTCTTATTCTTTGCTGGAGGCTCAATTTCAAGCAAGCTAATGTTCACACTGATTCATTAGAAGCTCTGGTGCTTATCCGATCTGAACACAATCCGAATCATCCTCTCAATGACATAATAGAAGAGATTAGATGCCTCGCCATGAAGGATTCAGTTATCACCTTCAACCATGCATTTAAAAAATCTAACAAATGTGCGGATTGGCTTGTTCAACATGCCACAAACAATAATACTGATATTTTAATTTTTGATGTTCCCTCCCTAAGATGTCATCCTTTTATGGGACTTGACTTGATTTAATTCTTTTTTTATGCACGGCTTGCTGTGGCTTTGTAATAAAAAAAATCATTTAATCCCCAATGAAGCGGGCATGCTCAAATTTAGTTATAAATATTATAATTTCAATTATAAATTCTAGAAACTAAATTATAAAAACCTTTTGCAATTAAAACTAATCTACTTATTTTTATAGTCGAACTTTCAAGATTTCTAAAATGTTTCAAAGGTTTACATAATTGCAGCAATTTATAATTTATTTGTAACTAGTTTTAAATTTACCATTGAGCTGCTGCTGCTGCTGCTTTTTTTTTTTTTTTACTGCAATTCAACTTTTAAGATTTACAATTGAGTTCGGTTACCAATTTCTTCGGGGTATTTAGTATTTTTACCCATTTACCTGTTTATTTAAATCTAGATTCTTTTTGTCATTTCACAAATTTGTAGTCCCTCAATGTCATTTTCGTCTTTCAGTAATCCTTATGCGTCATCCCTCCCCCCAAAAAAGTGGCTCGAAATCGAATCAAAATTAACTAAACCCAATGAAATTGATAAAAAAAAAAAATCAAACGAAACCAAAATGAAAAGAATGATTATTAAAAAAAAAACCAAGTATATGAAGTCAAAATGAAAAAATTGACAAAATAAAATAAATCGAAATCAAATTGTCCAAAACTTAAAACCAAATACATTTTCTTTTATTTTATAAAACCAGCAAACAATGATTTAATTTAAGTTTTTTAGTTCACAAGGTACTTGCAAGCTTTATTAAATAGGAACCGAAAGGAGGACAGAAGCAAAAAGTGGCCAAGACCCTATGCAAGGTATGGAGCCAACCCGCCAATAAGTTTTTCAAGGAGAGGGGAAAAAAGAACTTTGCCATTAATATATATAGATGTATAAACACACACACACACACACACACACACACACACACGTACAAACACAATACAAACACAAGTTTCTTAAAGTCAAAGTAAAGAACAAACGAAGGTCAAATATTATATTTATACAATGTGCGGGTCACTAGGAAAGAGAAAGATAAGCAGATAACAATGTACATAGGCAATGTCAAATTTTTTTAAAAGGCAAGTGTGGTGTGGTGTGGCGCATGTGGTGAGAACATATATATGAGGTGACAAGTCACGGATTCCAAATGACGACTCACTCCTTCACTTTCTTCTCTTTTATTTTCTGGACGACGACGCCATGTGAAGCATCTTTTGCTTTAACTGTCTTTGGCGGCAATTTTTTTTTTTTTTCCTTGGGGGATAACCTATCTTCTCTTTTTATATTTGGTGCTTCTCTCCCTCTTGTTTGTTTTCCTTAAGTTCAATGTCATCCGCTTATTGTTTCTTTCCCAATTTCATTTCTTTTTTGAGATGGCATAGCTTTTGCAGAAGTTGTTCTCCATTTTATCTGTGACGAGTTCAAAATTTTAAATTAATTGACCCGACACACAGAATTTTCAAGAAATAAACAAGTTCCTAAATTATTGCAGAAATTCAATCTCAGATAGACAAGGATAGTGTATAATATTATTCAGCACTGCTTCCAAAATGAAGAGATGAACAACACTAATGTATAAATCTACAATGTGAGATTTAAATCTAGTAAGGGTTTTACATCTACTCAATGAGTGTCTCATGTGGCATAAAATAACACCATTTGATTTAATTGAATGCTGGAAGGGATCTTGTTATATAATAATCAAAAAAATACTAAATTTTAGATTTTTGAAGGGACAATGCATGTGAGAAGTGTTTTGATGGTGATGAGCATTTTGAATTTTTGGATGAAAATGAATTTTGATAATTTTTATATATGATGAATTTTAGTGATTGTAATTAAGACACTCATTGAATAAGTAGATTCAGATCACTAATTGAAACCAAATTTTCACAACGTGATGATCACTAAAGAAGAAAAAAGAAGTGCTAGAGTCATTGAAAATACTAAATCAGCCTTGACGAATGCAATGGTGGATTTTGAACTCGAAATTGTTCTCAACCAAACTAAACTTAGGCTTACAGGCCGATGAGTTTAGAAAGAGCTTTTCATTGAAATGCAACCGAAGTCACGTAACTCTTATTGAAGAGGAAGTTGTGAATGTTTATAGTAATTAGTTTTATTTATGTCCGACAAATTATTTGGTATATAATTCGTTGCCCTGCTTAGCACACACCAAATAATTATCTGCTAGATGTTCTAAGGTATAGATAGACCTACCAAGCTAGACGAAGACAGAACAGACTCCTAGCACACTATCTATTTGAACTGAAAAGTAACTCTGAAGATGTCTGCAACAACATTATTGAGAGTGTCAAAACCTTAATAAAAGTGAAGCCAGTGCTCTAGTGCCACAATGGCATCAAGCGCCTTCTTAATAGGGGAGATTGCTAATTTTATGCCTAAAATATGTGGGTGTGTGTGAATTTTCCTTCCCTGTAAAAAAATCACAATGTGATATTTTTGATCGTGCAATCTGAAAGGCCTCCCATAATTAGAATAGTGAACTAATCAGCTGGTCCATTATAAGTACAAAGTTCTTGTATATGCATTTTCTTCCATTTATGGGTGTTCATTTAATGAAGATAACGAGATTGGAACTTTTCTTTTCTTTTCTTTTTTTCCTTTTTAAAAAAGCTTATATCTACGTTTCATTTGCCTATATGTCCCCTGAATGTTGCCGCTCCAGAATATTGCATTTGGGATGAATAATCATTGACAAATTAGCTCAGAAATGTACAAAGTGAATAAATTTTTTCTGGCAAACACACCCTATCATACTATTTTAAAATATTATTCATGAAGGATAAATAACTAACCAAAAAAGGAAGGAAATAAAAATTCTTGTTAAGTAAACCTGATTTAACTTTGGTCACTCTCAAAGGAAGACAAGTCTACATAAACATATAGTGGGATAGCCGTATCAGATGATAAAATTGATCCACATTCACATAAAGTATGCCTTGAAATCTCTAGAAAGAAAGAGGGGCAATGCAACTAGAGTGAAAATAGTCGCCATTCATTAGTCACTCAAAAGTATCTTTTAAGCCTAACACCCTAAGATCCTACACTCTGCTTAAACAAGCTAGCTAGGGATCATTAGGCGTCTTATCTGATCAAATCACTCTCATATTACCTCATCATTTTCTTCCTTGTCCACTAATAAAGTATTTTAGTGATGTTATTACTCGTAACCAACAAAAGAGAAAGACCATTTGAACATCTTTGTCATTGTCTCATTCTGCAGAAAGATTCATGACGGGCATATAATCCCCAAAGATGCTAGTTGCAAGTTGCTATTTGCAGTATAATATATTTTGGTGGTGATGTTCTCTCCAATCTCAATTGAATTTCAAGAAGAAGATGCTTTTGATGAACTTGCAATTTGCAATGAAAGCCATTAAAAGAGAAGGACAATGGAACCAATTTCTTAGGATAATTCCCTAGTTCATGTCCTACACATGATGTCTGAATTATTTTAGCTTTTTAGTCCGGCAAATGTTTAGGTTTGGCAGCTTCTGTAATCTTCGACCAAGACAATGAGTTTTATTAGGTTCCAAAATATAAAGTGCTGCAAACTTATCACGCTTCCTCCTTTTATATATGACTATCTTTTGTCTTTGCCTTCTATGTATTTTTTTTTTTTTTGGCGTCACCATGGACGCACTCAATGGAATGTGAAGGTGATGCTGTCACTTTATCGGTAGGTGTTTTCTTTTCAGACAAGAGGGATTGGATTTGATAGAAAAATAATACAATTAACCATCAGCTTAGAATATAAAAGATTCACATTGATGAAATTCTTAAAATTAGAAATTGCTCAAATCATGTGGTTCTGGATACTAACTTTTAACTTTTAAGGACTGCATTGATAAAACATGCATCTTTCAGCAATTGTTACTCAACTTTAATATGAAAATGTTAGCCACTGGAGAGCTCGCAGTAAACTCACCATCAAATTTACTACCAACTTTCAAACACGTTCATCATAAATTCATGTATTATGAGTCAAATCAAGTGACTGGGTGAATAACATTTTAACAAATTATATTTATTCATATTATTGTGTCCTTCCTTCAATCCTTATTATATTTCAACCATTTCATGTGTTTTAAAAATTTAATTTTTTTAATATCATAAAAAAAGATATACTTTTATTTTTACCTATAATTTTAAATCATGATACAACTATATTAAATATTTTCATGTTAATTAATAAAAGGTAAAATTATAAAAAATAATTTAATTATTATAAAATATCTTGTATTTTATATTAAAAATTACTTTTAAAATGTGCCTTATAGATATGATTTGAGGAAGTAAAACTTAAAAGCTCTTACCACTACTTTATCTAAAATGCGTGATCTGGATTCATGACTAAATTTTTTGGATCACGATTTCATGTCCCCAACCGAAACCCAAAAGCAGTTGGATAATAATGCAGAAAAAGCAGACTTACTTGGATAAGACTGCAAATGGTATCAGCAATATACTGCAGACTCAGGTCACAGTGATGGCAGCCTTATCTGTTATAGACGACCGAACCTGAAAGCAGAACTACTAGATATGAAACCAATTTGACTAATTACTTTACATAAAGCAAAAAAAGAAGGAAGAAATAATTGAGCGCAGCTATTTTGTAGTTTATTGATATTTAGAAATAAGGCATGCATATCATGCTCTTCCTTTTGCTAATATTCGCCCCTCCAAAAATGCTTGTAGATAAGGTCATAAGGATAAGAACTTGCACATACAATCACCAAGAGAGAGAGAGAGAGAGAGTTGAGGCACAGGGAAAACCGATCCATGCAGAGTTTAGCTTCTGCAACATCGACCTGAAACGGGGGATTTCAGGTGCAAAATTCGCGTAGGATTGAGGATTACATATAAAAGGGATAAGGGAGGTCCCGACAGACATATCACTTAGAGATTTATGGGACTCTTATCTATCCATCTTTTGAAGGGGAAAGGTGAATGGTGATCCATCCCTTTCCGAACCAGCTAGGACTTCCAAACGGAAGTTTAATCCGAGTATTTGACACTGACACGCCATTTCCTGCATAAAGTACTGCAAAAGGTATCAAAGGCCTTGACCATACACCACCCCTTGTCCAAAAAACCCGACGTGGTGATTCCAAATCCTACTGGGCTATTGAAATGGATGGGATGCAATGAATGTCCTTTTCGTCATATTCAAAGGACCCCCGTCTTCTTTTCGGATAAAACTTATGAACAGGTTTTAAATGCTTGTTTTTCAGAAAAATAGGACAATTTCTTCCTTAAATTTCAACATCAAATAAATGCGAACTGCTCTTTCGATCATTTTTGCATGTCGTGTGGCTATTAAACAATTTGATAGCAATTAATTATAGGGCTATACTATAGGTCTAGTTTTCTCTTCCCCCTAGGCATTGTTGTCGAAGTCAAAAGCCAACCATTCATGTGGAGATTAGGAGATTTACCAACACATTTTTTAGCCAACCCTTTAGGCGGATGCGGATAAAGTTTATGTTTCAATATTGCATAAGAGGGTTTTATTTTTATTTAAGAAAATAAAACAAAAACACCTTTACATACTTCATCATCCCTACATCTCTGAGGATCCATCTCACCCATGGAGTCGGGAAACTCTTGCTTTAGGTGAATCGAAATGGGAACCTAGTTGAAGAAGATAGAGTGGGCGGTGAACTTTTCTTCATTGAAAACTAGTAACTGGTAATGGCAATTGAAATGGGACGGACAAATGGAGATTGACGGTAGATGGATGCGTTTTTTTTATAAAGATTCTTTTTGAAAAAAATTAGTTATTGACTTGGAATCTTCTCCTTCCTTTATAATTTGCGTCGGATTGGCACTTAATCATCCGATGAATCATTTTTTATTTTTTATAAATTAAAATTATTTTTTTAAAAATTATTTTTTAATAACATAAATTAAAATTAAAGTTATATTTTATGTCTTAGTTTTTTAAAATTAAAATTGTACTCCTTCATTTAAAAATGTAAGACATTTTTAAAGAATTTGTATACTAAAAAATGTAAAGTCTTAAATATTTCAAGGTATAATTAATGTACTTTTTTTAAAGTACCTATAATAGATAAAGTACTTTATATTTATTTTAAAATAAAACACCTTATTAAATACTTTCTTTGATCTTATTTATAGGGTAGAGAGAGAAATTTTTTTATACTATTTAAAAGTCATTTTATCAAATTTTCATCTTAAATTTTTTCATTTAACCTCTATTAAATGTTGAAAAGAGAAAATGTATTGTTAAATTATGTGTATTTAATAGAAATAAGGTTAAAAAATTATTAAATTTCTTGACAATTAATGAGTTTTAGATGTTTTTCTTGGTTTTAATAAAACATAAAAAATGACTTATAAATAGGATTAGAAGAGTAAGGACAAATATAAAAATATAGTATTAGTTTGAATTATTATTTTATTGGGAGGCAAGATTTGATTAAAAATATCTTCTATTTTTTAGAATAAATTATGTGAAAATAAAATAAATTATTATTTCTATTTGTATATTATAATAACTAAAAGAACTTCTTATATTGTACTATAAATAAAAAATATAATTAATAGCAGTTGCTAAAGAAATTTAAAACTATAGGTATTTTTATTTCTCCTTTTTAAAAATAATTAATAAAATTTAATTTTCACTCTTTTCTCCTTTATTTATTCTAAAGTATGTGGATTAATGCTCTCGTGCACGGGGTCTAAAATATAGTTCTATGAAAAGCACTTCTTGAGTCTTTGACGTGGAAAGCAACGTTCCATACATCTGCTAAAAATAGAGTTGCACAAAAGTCTCATAGTTCCATCCAACCCAGTTCAACTTGAATAAAATCGATCCAGTCTGGTCTTATAAAAAAAAAAAAAAAGGATCCAAAAGACTAAAAAAATAAAAAAGACAAGACTTTATCTTTGAGTTGGACTATATAGAGAACTGAGATGTCATACGACTTGGTCTAGTTAGGTCCTATAACATAAATTTAATATATAATTATAATTATTTTTAATATAGCTGAACTTTAAATCCTGGACTTGAATGTAGTTTTCTCATCATTTTTAGTTTTTTACTCTTCAGTCTTCAGTGAACCTGCCCTAGCCTTGTAGTTGTTTTTATTACACTTGAGTAAGGCAAGTAGCAAATTACAATTTTTTTCCCAAATATGTGCTGCAAAATACTGGTTTTTTTATTGCTTCAGACTTGTATTTTATTTTCACATCGAATTATATTGTTTGGAGTTTGTTTCTGCAAGCATGTTTTAAAATTTAGGTCATTTTTTTTTATCAAACAATTTGTTGAATGCTATGAATTTAAGTCTTATTGATTATAACTGAAATGCTTTTTATTTTTGTTGGAGATATTTATGGATTTATCATGATTAGCCTCTAATGTTTTGTGATAAAATTTTTATAATTATCAATATTTTTATTATTTTAATTGAATTTATTATATTAAAATGAATTGTCATTTCTCATAAAAAAAAGAAAAAAACTAAGTAATATATTGCACTATCAAGACTAGTCTTCCAATTTTATGAATCAAATTTGGTCTTATTCAATTTTAGGCTAAGTCTGAATGAGAACAAACTATAAATTATATGATTCAATCTTTTTCATAAAAGAGACTTAACTTCTTGAGCTAAAATTTTGTCTTTTGTGCAGCCCTGAAGTACATGTAAATGAAAAAACAGTTTGAGCTCCTATATATACCTAGCCATTCTGACCAGTCTCCACACCATTTACTTGCTCAAATCTCAAGCAATGACTATTATGGCTATGAGCAGCAAGAAATGGAGACTCATGTCCATTTTCCTGTGTGTTTTCCTTCTTGCTACGCCAATTTCAATCTCTCAAGCTCGCACTCTTCCTTCCTCATTCTCCAACAGTCATGGAGACAAATCACACCATGCATTTGTCGAAAATGCCAAACAAGTGTTGAAAGAGATCATACGAAGACATCAGTTGCTTGGAACACAAGACATGCCCGCACGACTCAGCCCCGGAGGCCCAGACCCTCACCATCACTAATCTCCCTCTCAAATTATTTGAAAAAGAAGAAAAGAAAGAAACAAGCTAAGAGTCACGGGTTCTACTTCCTATTCAGATGGCAGATATTCAATTCTTTTAGCACAAGGATGAGAAAAAGGCCCACACAATCTTTATGTTGTGCTATCGATGTTTGTACCATTCATACCTGTGGGCCTTTTTCTTAATCCTGGAACTAAAATAATAGCGAAGCCAGAAATCAAGCTAAACCCAGAAACAGAGTAGTGCTGCTGCATGCCATATAGTTCATCTCACATACAAATGGTACGAACATGACAGCACAACATTGAGATTATCTGGGCCTTTTTGCTAAAAGAATTGTGTATCTGCCATCAGGTTAAGAATGTACATCTATATAAGAGGAAAAACCCAGATACAGAGTAACGATCATGGGTTTAGCAGTGCGGTTTCTTTCTTTATTCAGGCTGAGGTTTTTTAACCTCTCCCGCATTCTTCTTTGTATCCTTTTTGCATGAGTATTTAATATTTACATTTACAATGAAACTTTAGAAGGTTGCCAGGCTATTTCTTATTTGGTACAAGATCCTGCCTAATTCACTTTGGTTTCACAGAAGCATTTTCTCATTCAGTTGGCAGACACCAAAGGGAGTTACCGTAACTTTCTCGAATGTGATGGCAAGTGAGATGTCTAGTTTCCTCTGCCTGAAATTACTGATTTGGCATAATAGGAATGGATCTTGCATATGGTTAAGCATCTTTCACTAATTTAAGTTTTAATTAACAACAATGTGGAGTCCTATTTAGTGGTGTTCCACTTGAGCAAAATACTCAGAACAGGACAGTTTCAATCGCATTCTTTAACCCTTAGCCAATTCCGACAAAATGAGGCTTGTGTCCACTTATATCTTGTTCTCATGGCAGAGGAAGGTGTCAGATTCATACACACACGAGAGCATATTCCAAAACAAAGAGATTAAAAAAGTAGTAACTGCTTTAACAGAAATACATGTGCATGCTGCCAGTATTGGAATTCAGATCAAACCTACCTGCCATGAATTTGCAAAAAAGCAAGGCTTCCGAAGCGAGATTGACTGACGTGAAGACACTGATTCGCTTTGCCGACTTTGCTGCAATCCACTAATGCATTTGTATCTCCTTTATTATAAAATCAAAGAACGCACGAACAATGATTTCCTTCGATATCTTTCTCTTCGGTATTTGGTATTTGTAGATTCATGAGCGTGCGTTGTGGGGTCGGAGAAGCATATACTGATCGCTGTGTTTTCCGGCCGCCACAAATTATAAAATGATTGAGAATTTTTACTGCTTGATTGCAATTTTGGAAGGATAAAGATTTTTTTTTTTTTTTGGGTAATAGAAGGATAAAGAATTTGAATAAAGAGGTAGGCCCCTTCCTATTTTTTTTCCCAGATTATAATTTTGAAATTAATGATGAATTGGTATTTTTATAAGAAAAAATAATAAAAAAATCCTATCAAAATGTATAAATAACAATCATATTTTTAAAAATATTATAATTTCTTTAAAATTCTCGAGTGCCTAACTGACATTAATGATTTTAGGTAAATTACTAAATTGTTCCTTGATTAGGTGTTATTCTATTTTTTTAATGATAATTTTTGTTCTGTTAATTGTAAAAATTAAACAGTAAATTGCAACTTTCTATGCAAATTTTTTTATGATTAATAAATAAGTTTTAAAAATAATTAATCCTAATTATAACTTTTGTTTAAATAATCACAACTTTTCACTTGAAATTTTCGTTATCATTGAAGCATAAGTTTTTAAAATAATTAATCACAAATTTTATTCTATGAATTGTAAGAATTTAAAAAATCATAATTTTTTATGTGAAATTACTTTTATCATTAAAGTTCAAGTTTTAAAAATAATTAGTTATAAGTTTTATTTAGACAATCACAACTTTTATTTTATGAGTTGTAAGAATTAAATAAAAAATCAAAATTTTTCACATAAACCCATTATTTTTTTATTTTAAAAAGTGATCAATT